AGAATGATGAGGGCAATGAATGTACAAATGTGCTTTACACAATTGATGTATGTATGGATTGTGATAAGAGTTGTATGAGCCCCTAATAAATGAAGTTGGAGCTCACATGATAGAATTTGCCGAGACCAACAACGAGTTCATAGCAATTTTTTTTTTTAATAACACAAAAAGTGACTATGAAAATGGTCTTCCCCGGATAAAAAACACAGAAATCAAACTGAATAGATCTGTGGGAAAAGATGATGGAGAAGCTGAATATCAGCAGTTAAAACTAGGCCAGGGGCCGACTGTGGAACAGACCATCAATTGCTTATATATAAATGCATGATAAAGTTGAAGAGAATTTAGGAGAGCTCGAAGAGCCAAACCATGACCTTGAGTCTACCCCACCTGAGTTTCGAGAAAATCTCCAGAACAGATTTTTTTGCACTGGACACTAATGACAGAAGACCTGACGAGCTGTGGGAGGACATCAAGACCATCACTCATGAAGAAAGCCAAACAAAAACCACCAACTCTCACTGTCATGGAGTCAGTTTTGACTCATGGTGACTTTCTGAGATTGCCACTCTTTATAGGAATAAAAAGCCTCATCCTTCTCCAAGGAACTACTTATGGTTTTGAACTACTGGTCTTGAGGTGAATAGCCCAGTGCATAATCACTACCACCTCCAAGGCTCCTGAAGAAAGCAAATGGTCATTAAAAAGACAGGGAAGAAAGAAAAGATCAAAGTGGATGTCAGAAGAAACTCTGAAACTTACTCTTAATAATAGAGTAGACAAAAGGAAGAAATGATGAAGTCAAGGAGCTGAATCAAAAATTTCAAAGGGCAACTCCAGAAGACAAGGTAAAATGTTATGATGAAATGTGCAAAAACTTAGAGTTAGAAAACCAAAAGGAATGAACACATTCAGCATATCTGCAACTGAAAATATTAAGGGGGAAAAGTTTCAATATTATAATAGGATTATAATATTGAAAGATTCTCTAGGCAAAATATTGAATGATGCAGGAATCATCAGAAGAAGATGGAAAGAATACAGAGTCACTGTACCAAAAAGAACTGGTCAACATTCAACAATATCAATATCAATGAACAAGAGCCAATGGTACTAAAGGAAGAAGTTCAAGCTTCATTGAAAGAATTGGCTAAAAACAGAGCTCCAGGGATTGATGGAATACCGATTGAAATGTATCAACAAGCTAATGAAGCCCTGAAGGACTCACTTATCTATACCAGGAAATTTGGAAGACAGCTCTTTGGCCAACTGACTGGAAGAGATCTATATCTGTGCCCATTCCAAAGAAAGACGACCTAACAGAATGTTCAAACTATAAAGCAATTCTCATTGATATCATATGCAAATAAAACTTTGCAACAGTGGGTGCAACAGTAAATTGACAGGGAGCTGTCAGAGTCTAAGGTCAGATTTAAAAGAGGACATGGGACTAGGGATATCATTGCTGATTTCAGATGGATCTTGGTTCAAAGCAAAGAATACTTGAAAGAGGATGACTTCTGTTTTATTGATGATGCAAACAAATGGGAAAGTTGGATCTTAAATAAGGAAGACCCAAGAAGAATCCATGCATTTGAATTATGGTGCTGGCTAAACATATTAAAAGTGCCAGGGGCTGCAAACAAATGGACAACATGGACTGCAAAAAAAGGGCAAACAAATGCATCTTGGAAAAAGCATGACCAGGTAGGTGCTCCTTAGAAGCAAGGATGGCGGGATTTTGTCTCACAAGCTTTGTATGTGTTGTCGGGAGAAACCAGTCCCTGGAGAAGGATAGCATGCTTGGTGAAGTAGAGGGGCCGGGGGGAAAAAAAGGAAGGCCTTCAATGAGATGGATTGACACAGTGACTACAAAAATGGGTTGAGTGTAGGAACAACTGTGAGGATGACACAGGACCCGGGAGTGCTTTGTTTGGTTGTAATAGGGTCCCTGTGAATTGGAACTGACTCAATGTGAAGCCCCCACCCTCCATTTTAAGAGTTTCGTAATTTCATTCTGCTGAGAGCATACATCATCCCTAGTGAAACATAGTTTCTGCATTGACAATCTAGTGGGAGCACACCCACACTCTTCCAGTTCCTCTTCAATACAGTCTTGGTTGAATCTATAATCAATGTCTAAATTACTTGATTTTGTCGATCAGCCCTGATCTCAGTGGGAAATATGTCACACACTCAAGCTGGGCAATTAATAAGCATTTTTATAAAGGGATTATTAACAAACATGTGAGTAGGGCATAAAGAAACCTCAAGGAATAGGGTACTGCTCAGAGGCTTGTAAAAGGAGCGAGCCTTACAACATCTAGGCTTGAAAGGACAAGGGGAACAAATGGTGACAAGGTCCTATAGAGAGAGATAGCTGTAAAGGTGGAGGAGTTAGCTGGCAGAAGTGCTGGCTTTCAGTGACCCCCAACACAAAAGACATCTGGGGAATAAATACCCTTATCTCACTCTCTTTTCTCCATCAAATTTCCTATCTGAACTCCTCAGTGGCAGGATTCAGACCACATATGGAAGCCAGACCACAAGAAAGCTGTTCAGAATCTCCAGTGGTGCCTTTTCCCATCTTCTGCCTGGAGGGTAAAGGTCTGGCTGCTAGGCCTGGCTGAGCCCTTCCCAGTGTACACCCATTCATTAATTTCCCTGTTTCCACTATGAGTCTTTACCCCCACTGTCTTCTGTCTAGATTCTGCTTTACAAGTGTCATGAAATAAAATGTCTAATCGAGGTAGGGAAAGACAGTTAACCAGCTTTGCTGAAATGGGGAAGGAATCTTTGACTGAACTGCTTCTAAAACAGTTCTCATTGTCTATAACTGGGTAGCAAACAAACTGGGTAGTGGCATGAAACAAAAATAATAATTCCTTACTATTGTCTCTCACGGGTCTAAGAGCTCACTGAGAACTCTGCTCCTTCTTTTTTAAGTACAATCTCTCATGAGTTTTCAATCTGTGACTGGCATCATCTCAAAGGCTTCCTCATCCCCAAGTCCAAGATCGGTAATTGATAATTATGTTGTTGTTGCCTGTTGTTTGCTCTTGTTGTGTTGGCTTGGATTCATGGTAACCCTACGCACAATAGAACAAAAGCTACCCAGTCTTTCTCCATCCCCGTGATCGGTTGCAGATTGTATTGTGTTCCAAAGGTTAATGTTTTAGAAGTACACTGCCAAGTATTTCTCCCTAATCCAGCTTCGTCTGGAAGCTCTGCTGAAACCCGTTCAGCATCATGTTGTCATTGTTTTCACTAGTAGCATGGAGTGGATTTTTGGTTTACAGACCCAATCATAGCAACACTCAGCCTCCACTGGCAGTTGAGGTGCACTGGTTAGGGACTAGCCCTGGGTCTCCTACATGGTAGGAAAGAACTGACCATTGACCCAACAACACCCTCAGATCAAGGTGATGGGAAGATGGCCAGGGGTGGGGAGTGGACTATCTGGGGCTGCACTGGCCAACCTGTCTCTTCTCATTTTTTACTCTTTTTGTGATCTCTTTACATTGTCTCTAGTAGCCACAGTGTAGTTGAACATCTTACATTGTAACTAAGGGCTACCGGAGCAAGCATTACAAGAAACCACCAGGAACTGCTGGCCTTTTATAGCCTAGTCTTGAAAGTCTGTTCAAAAGAGCTTCCAGACTTAGATGGACTAGGGGGCAAAACAAAACAACTTGGTCCTCTATTCTATAGATCAGCCATTGCAAACTCCATGGAACACAACAGTGCAATGCACAACCAATGATGGGGACTGCACAAAACCAAGTGCTGTTTTCATTGCATTTTATTCCGTGATGCAATCATAAATACCCGTCCACATTTCTTAACGGGAAGCATAGCAAATCATTTGTTGACTTACTTTAAACCCAACCCAGGCTCTTACCCAGTGCCTAGTGGTTTTGCCCCTTTACCTCTCCTCGCTAACCTACCTCTGGAACATATGGCAGAATCTCTTACCATTGACTCCTTAGTTTTTCTTCCAATATTCTATTGCTAATTTTTCTTCTGTTCTCTTTTTATTAGGCTACATCTTTTAAAAAATAATCTGTTATCTTAGTGGGGTGTCCAGAAAGAACACATTAGTCTCCAAAGCTGGCCTCAGTTGCACTAGGGAGATGTTACACTTTTGTCAACTGCTCATCACAGCTCTACCAAATTCAGTAGTTCTCTATGAACAGTGCCCTGTCGATTCTACCTGTAGGTACCACTGTTGGTCTCGAGCATCTCTGAGGCACAGAATCGTGTGCTGGAAGAGGTTCAGAATCTGCATTTCGTAAAGGACAACAGTGCCACCTTTATTGAGAGGAAGCTCAGCTTTGAAAAGAAGAAAGCTGTGCAAATTCTGGTGAGTTTGGCACATCATGAATGCCAATGATGGATATCACCTCTTTCCTTGACCAAGTCTAGTATCAGATTACATTCCATATGACTTAATCCATCCTTCGATGCTGCATTTATCTACTTATGATGTATATAATTTGTGGGGGGGAGGGGGATTTATTTCTACCCTCTGTAAACTTCATGAGGTCATCAGTATTTGTCTGTGCTGTAGATGATGTGTCCCAAATTCCAAGAAGGAAACATGACATAGCATAGGCACTCAGCAAATATTTGTTGAAAGGGTGATTATGCTTTTATATAGAAAGATGATATTGTTCAAGCCCTTCCTTTTTCAGGTTAAGCATTGCTCACTCTAGAGAGTAAATGGATTTCTCAAAGTAACTTCGTGGCAGAGCTGGGAAATAATGTAAGCCTTTTGACTCCTACTTATTTCACTGATATCATTTCCCAGAAAAAGGCGTGTGAGTGTACAATTTACTGATTAACCATAATTTATCAAGTGCCTAATATGCAAGAAATTATCTTTGGTATGATAAAGACATTTAAAACTTTGCTCAACATCCCAATGCAATTCGAACCTCTGCCATTTATTCTCAATTAGATGTTCTTTCCTCTCTACAACACTGCCCCCGTGTGCTAACTGCAGAATTCTTCACTGAATAAGTCAGCCATGTTCTTCATAGTACTCACTTGCACTGATACACTTTAACCCTGAAATAATTGCAAATCAATATATGACTACTGTGTGTAAAAACCAAAAAGAAATTTCCAGAGAACAATATGTACCAACTCATTAAGAATGATGTTGTCCGTCTATTTAAAGTAAAATTTCTCCTTACCTTTCCCAGCCAGAAATACCACGTCAGACTGACATTCACCGCTCCAAACTTCTATCCACCTACAGTGCAGAGGAGCTGTACCAAGCTAAGCGCAAATGCAATGCTACCCAGGAATACGACATCAACCTTCTGGAAGGGGAGCTGGTGGCTGTGGTGGAACAGAAAGATCCACTGGGGAGTACAAGCAGGTGGCTTGTTGATGCAGGAAGTACGTTTTGTTTTGTTTATTTTTACGAGATGGACAGAGCTAGCTATCTTCAAGTTGAGACTTTCCTAGGGGTTCTCCATATGTTTGGAAGTGTACACACATGACCTCGACTCTTCTTTCTTTTTATTTCCTATTCAGTTGTAAAAGGATATGTATATTCCTCATTCCTAAAGCCCTATAATCCAGCAAGAATGGAGAAGTCTGATGTGGACAACAGGTTCTGTGACAATGACTTTGATAACATCAGCCTCTTTGTGTCTTCACGGCCAGCTGGAGACAGTGTCACGGGCACCCCAGACGGCAGCATAAGTGACAGCAGCTCATCTCTGAGTGGCACGTGTGGAAAGCTTGAAGCAAATGGCACTGACATTGATAGTTTTCAAGAGGTAGATGAACAGGTAAGTACTTGGACCTTGATGCAGACATTCTTGGTTGGTCAGATCATGAAAGGTGCTTCTTGCTCTGATCTTGCTGTAAGGCTTTTTGAAAAAGTATAACCAGCATCAAGGAATCTAGACTCTAGTAACTTTCACTCTTGGTGCATCCTTCTGGAAGGAGTTTAATTCTCTGAGCCTTGTTTCCTCAAATGCAGGAAACAAAAATAATGGTTTCTATTTTGCAGACTTGACTTGAGGATTAGAGATGATGTGTGTATATAAAGCACCAAGGACAAAGTAGACAATCAATAAAGAGTGCTGGTATTATTATGACCCTGATGTTATGTACTTAGAGTGAAGCAAAGATGTTCCATTTTATCTTCCTCCACCACAGCAAAGCAATTCAATGTTGAACACATTGCCATCAGTCGCGTGAGAAGTCATCCATGATCTCTCTATATGAAATAGTTTCATGGAGCTGTCACATCATGGACAATTTTGTATATACCACAGACTCCACCATTCGTCTGTCTGCTTATTGTATTGTGGTGGCTTCCATGTTTGGATGATGCTGGAAGTGGTGCCACTGGTATTTCAAATACCAGCAGGATTACCCATGATGGGCAGGTTGCAGCACAGACTGTAGACAAAGACAGACTAGGAAGAAGGTCCTGGTGATCTACTTCTAAGATAATTGGCTGGTGAAAACCTTATAAATAGTAGCAAAACTTTGTCTGATAGAGTCCCTGAAGATGAGCCTCTCAAGTTGGAAGGTATTCAAAATATGACTGGGGAAGAGCTGCCTTCCTGAAGTAGCGTTGACCTTAATGATGTAAATAACATATTTGGGACCATCATTTGGCAGTGTGGCATGACTCAAGTGGAGAAGAAGCAGCTGCAAATGCCTACTAGTAATCTAAATTTGGCAAGTGCAAAACTAAAATAGTTGGCCGAATGAAGTCCTTTGGGCCAGTGGAACAAGGTTTCGGTTTTCTTGCTGACAATCAGTTGAGGGGCACTTTCAGCAACTATACACAGCTCTTAGATTCTTGCCATATTGGTTCATCTACAGACCATTCACACGATGGCTGCTTAATTTAAGAACATCTCCCTGACTTCAGCTCTCGCCCTTCAGGGAAGGCCTAAATTCTCTTTTAATGGACTTATATGATTAGGTAAGACCCACCTAAAAAAATTCCTTTTTGTGCTGTTCAAAGTCAATTTACTAGGGAAATTATTAGGATCTTCTTCACTTTGCTTTGTAACATAACCAAATCATAATATGGCCAGAGTGCTCATTAGAGGCAAGGATGGTAAGACTTCATCTTACATATTTTGGATATCTTGTCAGGAGAGACAGGTCCCTGGCGAAGGGCATCAGGCTTGGTAAAGTGGAGGGGCAACAAAAAAGGGGAAGACCTCACTGTGATGGCTTGACAGTGGCTGCGACAATGGGCTGAAGCATAGGCATGGTTGTGGGGGTGGTGCAGGCTTGGGCAGGGGTTCATTCTGTCATGAGTAGGGTCACTATGGGTCAGAACTGACCTGATGGCACCTAAGAACAGAAAGTGCAATCACAGTAGTGAAATCTGAAAGATGACATCGGGAACCCAGAGAAGTGGGTATGTAAGACAGACATAAGAGTGGTGAATCTTCCTACCAGTCTCTAGGTTGCCTGCTCGGGTAAGCAGGGATGTTAGGATAACATGATGAATCTTTGGTACATCTTATAAAAAGCCATTTAATAATGGCTAAAACCAGTTTTGTTTTGATTTTAATTAATTGGGATTTAATACATATATCATATCCTTCTATAGTGCAATCACACCTAGTACAATTGGACAACTGCTACCACAATCAATTTCCAAACATTCTTTGTCTTCCTGGGCTCCCTGACATCATCTCCCTTTTAT